CGAGGGGGGGCGCGAACATTTTTCTTGTAAAACAAGGGGGGCCCAGCAAAAAAAGTTTGGGAACCACTGCTGTATACTATGCATGCCAATTTATGGCATTCTAGCATCTTGCACCGTGCACCCGAGCCTGTCCCAACTATTTGAGAAGGGTTCCTGCCATCAAACTCAAAATTACCTTATTTTTTTTTCTTAAAATGTTCTGAGCTTAAAAATGTTAGATGTTTTGTGTGTGTTCTATTGTGAATAAAATATGGGTTCATATTTATAATCAAATGTATATTTATAATACAAATCATTGCATTTTGTTTACATTTACATTTAACACAGTGGCCCAGCTATAATTGAAATTGGGGTGATAGTTATATAAACAGATGCTCTTCACATTGGACTGATGATGATGAAGTTTATCACAAGGCCTATTCACATTGATAAAAAAAACCATGTAACTATAAATGAATAAGTGGTGTTTTGTTGTTGTTGTTCTAAACTGAGTCTCTCCATTTCCCCAGGATAACATGTTGCATGCTTTGGTGGATGTTGTCTTTTGTATCTCATGGAAGTTTCTCCTGGAGCTGTGTATCAGGAGCTTCCTGTGGCAATTATTGCAGTTCAGTTTGTAATGAAACATTCTGTAAGTGGTTTAATGCATTTCTCTTAACTTTATCTTAAGTAAACTGAGAAGAGACAGAAGCTTATTTGATTCTTGTGTGCTGGGAGATGGTTCTGGAGTAGGTCCTCTTGAAGAAGCAGATGTAGATGCTTGAACTTCAAGCAACTGACGCTATTGGTTGCCCTGCTGCACCTGCTGTTGAACCTGGGCAAACTGATGCCGGATTTGCCTCCATCTATCCTCCTGGTGGTTATGCTCTTGCTCCAGTTTAGCATCGAGTTCAGCCTGCTGTTGCATCAGAGCGCAAACGTTTGGACAATTCAGCCACATTCTCTTGTCCATCAATATAGCCACTTACTGCCCCTTGTTGGTCGCTGCCATCTTGTAAATCACCTGCTTCACATTCTGGAACAAGCCGTCTCTTTGCTTGGGTAGACACCTTCTCCACTTATTAATTGGCCTGGAAACCCACTGCTGCTGCCACTATATGTGGTAGAACTTGACTTAAGCGGCCAAAGAAGTGCAGGAGAAAGATGCTGTCCAGTGTAGCAAGTGATTTATTCACCATTTTGTGACCAAACCATATTTACAAAAAATAAATTAAAAAAAATCTCAACTCTATAATTAACTCAGTTCAAATAAACATAACTAAACTTAAATCAACGGAAATTAAGGTCAAACTGCAAACAGCTACACTAACCTGGTCCTTCCTTCCTGAACACCTGCGTTCACCTGCTTAAATAGTCCACTCACCTCTGGACTATTCCATTAGGTGAGAAGAACCAGAACCAGTCCATTTACTTCTTTTGCACAAAGAAGTAAATGGACTAAAAATTCATGATAGAATGAATAATGTCTATTTTGAGCTGAAACGTAATACCCCCATAAAAAGGTAATTCATATTGTTTCCTTTAATTACTTTACAGCCAGCTGCTGTATGAGGTATACAACAAACATCCTGGAAGGTTCAACCCAAACAAACCCTGCTGAGTAAGCATTTTATTCACCCTAAATACATGATTTTTTTTTTCAGTTTGTCAAAATTTGGTGTTTGAACATTTGTGTCTGAGTGCAATTTGTAAAACACTTTACATTAAACATGAAGAATTTGGTAATATTAAGAATATTTTGTGTTATTGAATCGATGACAGGGTGTAAACTAATATAATACTTGTGATAAAATATTCTTGTCCTTTTCCACCAGAGCCTTGCAGACCCTAGAAAAAATTCTAGAAGAAACTCCAGTAAAAGGAGTCGTAAATATATCTTCAGGCAATTTTGTGGCTCTCCTCTTCAAACCCAATGGTACCTTTACAGGCCTTGAAATTTATGCCAGTGACA